TTTTTTTTTTTTTTTTTTTTTTTTAAAGAAAGAAAACTTACCAGGAGAACTGTTTTCCATGTTGTCAAGATTAGATTCAGATTCAACTGTCACTGACTTTGAACTTATAGCTTGTTCCATAGCAGGAACACCACTGTTCCCAAACTGCAACTCTAAAAATAAACATAGGGCTCAAAGCTTAATTGCTTGGTCTAGAGATTCTGCAGCATCTATTAACAGAGATTTAAAGCAGAAAATTCTTTGCACTATAACTGAATAAGAATGCAAATACAAAAGGTAAACTGAATGTACAAGTCGCAATTACAGAAAGTGCAAAAATACAGATTTCAAAGTGACTCTAGAGCTTTAGTATTACATAGTATTCCACATATGTGTCTAACTAACAGGGCTCAGAATTATTGCTGGTTTTCCTTAAGCATTTTGAATAATTGAAGGCTGAAGTATATAGTCGGATAATTTATACACAAACAATGCTGTTAGCTATATTAAATGCTGCATTTGAGGCTACACAGGCCGCGTCTACACAAGTGGCAGCAACAATGATGCAACACTACAGCACAGTAATCTTGGACTCCCATGCAGTCAGCGTCATTAAAAAGCCATTAATTGATGCTACTGCGCAGTAACTTGGGTTCCTACAGAGTCATTTAGTACTTGATTATGCAAGTACTAAACAGATGCACAGTCAGCATCTCAGGTAGACGCAGCCTCAGTGCAGGCATTTAATCCCAAGATGTACAGGTTTTACAAAGCTAACTTTTTCAATTTGGTTTTTTTTTTAATACAAACAAACACCTCCTTACGAATCTGAAAAAAAAATTAAATTTACTAATGGCAAAAGGAATTTACTGATCAATTTGCAAGTTTGAGAAAATGTGCACAAATAAACTGGTGTCATAATGGAAATGTAGAGTGAAAATTTCAAATATTCCTTAAAATAATGTAAGGTCTATCAAAGAAACTGGACACAGTTTTTGTCCTGTTTGCAATCTGATTATAACTACTGTTCCAACATGCTTATCCACAATCTAGCACTGTGAGCGTGTGTAAACTAAAAAAAAAAAAAATCCCTGTGAAAATTGGTGCTGAATTAAACACGTTTTCCCCTACACAACAAAAAGCTGACTCTCATACGTTTCTAGATAGAAGAAAACAATCTTGCAGTTAGGTTTATATCCAGAGGCAGTTATTAGTATTTTCAAAACCTGCTTATTTAAATCTATAGAAGTACAAACCATAACATTTGAAAAAAGAAACCAATTATTCTCCCAGAAGCTTATCCAAATCTGCGGCAAGGAAAAGAGTGGTAGTTCACTGCTACTCTCCATGACTATAATGTATCATTTTATCAGTACCTTGCTGATGTTATAGATATACAAAATTTGGAAATGTTTAAACATTGTAAAAACAAGTATTACATATTTTCTAGAAGGGACTTTTGGCAAAATGTTGCTTTTCTTTCACTTGACCTCTGAACAGAACATGAACCTCTATTTGACGTTTTACAACCTGCATTAATACCAGGAACATATTAAGAACACGACTGAAAAATATTAAGATTCCATTTCTCCACTTGGACAGAGTGGAGCTTAGTTGCTGCTGGGATCTACCCTCAGAGAAAGTTGCAGCAGCAGAGTAATTTCTCTCCCTAATTTATGCCCCAGAAAAGATGACTACCATGCACCTGTTTCACTCACAAAATTCTCCCAATATAAAACTGTTTCTTCCCTTTACATTTTTCTACTAGCACAGAGACTAAACTTCTATTTGTTTTAAAAACAATCTTCAACTACCAAAATGACAGTTCCCCCAAATAAGTTATCATCACCCTATTACTTTCCAGCACATCATGGAGAAAAGAAGGCACACCACTGATTTTAAACACAGACAAACATGGTCTCTGAGACTAGAACGGAGCTTAGTATCATTTATTCCTTCCTCTGGAAAATTCTGCCCACTGTTCCAAACAGTAGGGAAGCAGCAAAGATGAGGTTTAATAGCCATCTTTGAGTAATGCATTCAGCACAGTGCTGGAAGTAGAATCAACTTAGCTGCTTATACGGAGATCCCATTTGTGAAATCCAGCCTTTCTTATGAGAAAAACTGAACGAGGCCTCATTCTGCTGAGTCTACTTCTTGTCAACTAAACCCAGTAACTGGAATTGAAAGGGTGCTTGATGCTCAGAATGTTTCTTCTGTGTGCAAGTGAAACAATCCGCTTCTGTTCACAGTATTTTGTCATTGCTGGGGAATGTTGGAGGTTTCACTTATCTTGGTTCAGTGAGCCTTGATTGACTACTTCCATCACTTTCAAGAGTCCCAGCTGAATAGATGTGAGGAAGTGGCAACATGTAGAGGATTCTGCTTATGGCTGAAAGTCAATTACCTCTTTCCTAGAATCTAAAGAGCAATTATCTTATCCTTCCTTTTTTGGTTTCAGCAATTACTTTATTAAGAGCTTCCTCAAACAGGTCGCTCTCTTTCTCTGTCCCGCACCTGGTATACTTTCAAGACACTATAAGATATTAAGGAGTCTGCCCTCAACAGCCTGCTTCTGTAATAGTCATCTCATTATTGCTATAGGTCTAGTTGTGAGCCTCAGGGATTCAACAGCCGAATAAAACAGCAAAAACCTTGCCAAGATACCTTAAGGATCTGAAATCAGTGCCACAAGTCTTTTGAGGTAACATATGAGAAGACATCCATCAGACTAGAGCAGCTTGAGCAACACACATAGAAGGAGAAAAGCTTTAATACTCTATATACTGCCTCAGAATTATAGGGCATTTGTACACATGCTTGTGTAGCGCATACATTTGTATAAATGGTGAAACGTGCATCAGCACTGAGAAAATGGTGGCAGCATGCATTTACATTGAAGGTGTTTTATTTCAAAAGCACACTGCTGCCATCTTCTCAGTGCTAACATGCATTTTGCTGTTTATACAAATGCATGTGATGCAGCACCGGGAACCTCAGTTCACGTGCAGAGCAGACAAATGTATGTGTATAAATGTCCATAGTAAGGAATGCTCCCTGAGGTAAAATACTGCCTTCTAAAGCAATTTGCAGGTCATTCACAAGGTTAGAAATGCCCAAGTTAGCCTGTAGAAGTATGACAAACCAACTTTTACTTTGTGGTTACACAGAATTAATGAAGCATTCTGACAATCCCTTTTATGATTAAGCTTTATTAAGCTCAGGAACCATGTCAAGATGCTTAGGAGTTCTCTGGATAACAAAAGGAAGCATCTCTTCATTACCTAACTATCCTTCTGTGCACAGTAAATGGATACAGGCATTCAAGCCTGAATCCTAAACAAGATGACTATGCAAAAATTTGAAACCATCTAGAAAGCTCCTTTCGTAGAAGTCTTCAGAATCCAAATTAGATGGTATGTAGAAATCCTATCTGAAAATTTCTTGTATAACTATTTGCTTGAAAACACATTTGAGTGAACACAAATATCTTATTTCAGTTATAAAGCAGCTTTAAAAGAAGCTGAAAATGTTTCATCTGGAAACTGCAATAGTCTTTTAGAAGTTGAATTGTACCCAGCTGTCCGAAACTGCCTGTCACTTCTTGAAATCCTGATGGAATAATCAGGACAAGAAGTTAAAATGAAAATCTTTGAGGGAGTCAGCCTGAACAATTTGATTCAAGAGTCCAAGAGGAAAAAAAAATGTTGATTTATCTGGAGAAGTCACCTCTGGTTATCTTCTCTGGATACTGCCCAAATGCCATTTTATTTCCTCTCTGGAGAAGAATATTTCAAGAAGTAGAGAAGGGACTGGTTTAGTAATGTCAGTAGACAGCATTTCAGAAGATATTAAACATATCCTTCTAAAACTCTCTCTAATAGGACTGCTTGGATATAATTATGTTTAGCTGTAAAGACTTTTCTTTTTTTTTAATATAAAGTATTATCATATAATTCCCTGGAGGAGAAGGGGGTAACTACAGAGAAAGTCTGTGTTGATTTAATGGATTTTATTTAGTTTCTGAACTCCTGTGAGATTTTCTTAGCAGAGAAATAGCAGAGATAAAACGACAGAAACAAACATGCAAGGCAAGGCCACTTTATAAAAAAACATAATTTGGGAGTAAACTGATCAACTACTCGCATTAATTAAGCATCCATGCTGCAGCATTTAAAACAAAATGCATGAAATGCGGATGTCCTGCTAAGATGAAATAATAATTGTTTTACTGTGACTAAGACATATGTTGCTGCTGCAAGGTTGAGAGATCCAATTTAAAAAAAACTAACTTGTACTTATTTGTGAACTATTTTCATGCCCTTTCCTTGGAAAAATTATAAACTTTTAACCTGGGTCAATGAAGAATTTTACAGTACTAAACACAACTGAGTCACAATTTAATTTTTAAATCCTTGTTAAAAATCTGCTCCATACAGGAAACCTAAACATTCTATTAACACCTCTTTATGACTAAACTTTGGCAATTCTTTCAAATATCTTGTACACTAACAAAACAGAATGATAAATTTTATCCTATTTAAATTTAATAACAGAGCTGAGCAGATTTGAAATGTATATTTTGCATGCTGTGAATTTAGCCAATAACCAGTCCATAAGGGGATTTCAGTATGCTGTTACTTTCAATTTCACTATTTTTAGGTCTTGCAGTGTGCACTGATGAGATGGCTCATTTCAAGAATTATACTATCCCTTGTGACATATTAGGCACAAAGCCCTCTAGAGTTCACCTGTGAGCAAATGGTCCCATGCATATGTCTATTTAAATTTAAAAGAACACAAAAATGTAACCCTGATGATCTGCCATTTTTTTTTAAAACCCCACATTTACAAAATAAATAAAATAGGGAACTTTTTACACAATTGTGTTGAAAACAGTGTTTAAAGGATTTTTCATAAGACATCTTCAGTGGGATGCTACTGTTAATAGAACCACGTAGACAAGCCTATACTGAGTCAGTATTGATAGAAACTGGCTATAAAACTTATGTTGCCACAGGAACAAAAAATAATTTGAAGCTAATATGGTAATAGAACACTGAACCATTCTCCTAGCTTTGCTAACACAACGCATTCATAATTTATTTCTGAACCTGACAGTCTTGTGTGAAAGGTCACCCTTGCAAATATCATTATGTGCTTATATTCATAAATTTAGTTTTATAATTTAATAAGGTTAAAATTTAAAAATATCAGAAAACTGCAGTGATACTCACACCTGCAGAAGAAATTGCAATAAAAACAGTTATGATGCAACAGATTAAACAATTAATATTTTACATCTTTGTTTACCTTGGAAGATGAAGAAATGTTAAGAGTTACAGCAGAGGATATCCAAATTCTGAGATTTAAATTCCAGATAAAATGCAAAGAAATAAGAAGAGTCTTCAATGTCCTCTATATGCTTTACCTGACACAGCATTAGAGGTTTGGATGGTTTCTCCCTGTAGATCTGAATGAAGACAGCCAGAGGAGGGCAGCAACAGATCAGTGTCATTCAGCATAATCTCTAAAGCACGGGCTGAATTTGACAATTCAGAAGTGTCCGGTTCATTCTGATAAGAACATGGAGACACAGACACCATCGATCCTTCTTTTGAAGTAGACTCCTGGGGGAAAAAAGAAGAAAAGGAAGTTTATTTAGGTTATTGATTTACTTTTCCTTTATACATTAGCATTTCCAAGGAAGTCTTCAAAATTTTAAATTGTTACAAAGTTTGTTAATAAAAAGGAACAGGTACACCAAAATAGCAAATAAGTTTCATATTTTCTTTCCTAGGAAAGACATTGCAACAGAAATGATGATCGCTGTAAAGGATAAATTGCTGTAATATTTTTTTTAAGATTGATCTGTCTACTCCCTAAAGAATGTAGTCTCGTGAACTTGTTTAGGTGTCATGAACAGGTCTACATGGCAGTGTAGGAAAACTGAAAATAAACAATAAAAGAAAACCCTAAACATGTAGAAGAAATTATTTTAAGTAATGAAAATAAAGAAAAGAAATTGTGCCACTTTAAAAACTGTAATCAAATAAGGCTAAATATCTTAGAAAAGATCAGTACTGGTTTTAAATTTAAGAGTTTTGCCTAAAGCCAAATAAGAATGACCAGTTGGTTAACTTACAGACACGTACTCAATCCTTCCCCTGGTCTTGTGCTACATTTTCAAGTAAGAATCAAGAAAGATTATGTTAATTAGCTCAGTTTCATGTATTACTGACACACTCTAATTATTCAAACACACAACATTTTGCACATTATCTTTAATAGTTTATAGTATGGAGTACTGTGCAGCAAATCAAATGCAAACTTACAGAAAAAGCAGGCCAAATAGTTATGATGGTTAAACATTTTAAGTACGTTGGCAAGGAATGTTATTTCTTTTCTTGTTAACAAAGCAATATTCCTAATTTTAATTTTAAAAGCATTAATGTAGATGCAATTAAAACAGAATAGTTTATTTAGCTTTGGCAAATTGTAGCAGTGTAACTTTCCACATCTGGAAAGACTCGCCAGTTGTATGGCAAAAACTTACTGGAAAAAAAAAAAAGGCCACAGCTTCAAATCCTAAAGAGTTTCAGAATGGACTTCAGAAGTGAAAAGCTGCCCCTGTGGCCATGTCCTCACTACAAACATGAACAGTTTCATAACTATTTCAGGAAACACTGTTTTCTTAGATCAGTGGTTTTCAACCTAAGTTCACAGACTATGTCTAAGGGGGTCCATGAAAGACAACTGTGATCAATCAAAAGTATGTGAATACCCACACTTACAATTCAAACCAGCACCTCCGTTCAAAAATTGTTATGGGTCCACAAAAGAAAAAAGGTTGAAAACCACCATCTTATATCATTCCTGAAAGCCTGAATATGGCCAAATAAAGTTTGTAACAACTGTTTATTTGTTTACACTTCTGCTCTATCCACAGCAACTGACACCACTGGTAAAACCATTTTCCGATAAACAATTAGGTAAAGTGTTTCACGATCAAAAAAAACTTATTCCACTGTGCAAACAAAATAAATTTAAGTCCTGAAGAAAGGGCAAAGAAGTCTACCAAGCTGGAGGAGCATAATGGGCAAGTCTGCATGCAAGAAAATTGTAAGATAGGAAAGCAGGAGAAAACAAGGTAAATTCTAAACTGCAGCAGACGATAAAAAAAGAGGAGTGTACAAAGAAGCTTTTCCAAGAAATGGAATAACGTTGACTACAGAGTTCAGGCACATGTTCTTCCACCTGTAGCTTTTTGCAAAAAATACTGTCAAAGTAGGGATTGAGGGATTATTTTTCCTTCTTCTTCAGTGTGCATCCTTCCTGCACTCACTACGCTTACACAACTATGTATTGCAGAATTTTCTTTTGAACTACAGCAAGTTTGCCACATTTCTCCAGGGGAGTATGTGTATGATGTTCTGGCTCTCTCCAATTAACTCTGATTGCTCATGCAGGTCCTGAGCCAGTCAGGGTGGCCTATTATTGTATCAGGTAGTTAGGGAGGGATATACAATATGGAAGGTGTGAACTGACTTCCAATATGGATAAGAATGGCTTCTGGTAACATTTCTGGAAGGGGAGACAGGCAAATTTAAAGATAATTATGATATATAATTCTAAATATTTACAACACACCCTCCAAACAATTTGACTTACGATAAAAAATAATGAAACTACCCCAAGCTCACAAACCCCAAAGGCTTATAATTCGCTATTTTTAACTACTTGTTACTGCTGGGGAAATGATCATTTCCCCACTGCTAACTGAATGACAGAAATTTGCTATTCTTCTCAGTTTATATGAGATAAGGCAATTCAACTGCTTTATTTCTGCAATCTAACCCACTGTGACAGCAATCAAAAAACCAATACTACATACAGAAAAAGTCAATAGTCTGCTTTCTATACACTTTAGTATGATGTCAACCTTCTCTCAACCTTCTCTCCCTTAAAAAAAAGCATAAATACCACAAACATGAAAGACTGTTATGACCTATTTTGAGAACCCTAGTACTGTGTATCAAGGTATTATATACCTTCACTAATTTGTACTTTGCTCCATTGTCCAAATCAGTAGCTATATCCAAGGAGTCTGCAGCTGATACCTGAAGACAGTCTGAGTTTAAAGTGCTTTCTTCCACGATGCTGCTTTGTAATAACCTCTCAATCTCCCTGTTCAGAATGTCCAAATCATCACTCATCACGCAATTCTAAGGAGATATGCCTGAAGGAAGAGGAAAAGTTGACTAAGCACTTCTTGATCAGCTATAATATTGAAGTCTACTATTTTTAGTTATATGCCAATGAGCAAACCCTAGAAAACAAAGTTTAGGTGCCTTAACATGCCCAATTTGAATATTTTGGCTTGTAGCAGACTAACAAAGGTAGCCTGCTGATGGTATGGTTTCATACTTGCTATTGGAGTCCAAGAACCATAGGTACAAAATAATCTTCAATATCTTTTGAGGCACTGATTTGTTGTTGCCAAGGTATTTTAAATACAGCAGTCAGAATTTCTTCTTAGTAAGCAATATTCTGATGTTTGAACATAAGCCATGTTTTTATTTGTTATAATCACTCCATCAAGTGGCAAGACTGCATGCTGCATTTTAAGCAGATGTCACTTGGATATAGTTTTCGATGCTAGTGATCATAGAACACAATAAATGTGCATGCCCACCAACATGCATGTGGAGAAACAAAGACATAACACAATGTACAATCATAAGGCCCACCCCCAACTATTCTTGAATTTTTAACCTACCAGATACGGTAGCCCTTATGCCCAAGAATACTGCTAGCATAAATAAAAAACTCTAATGGTAAGAACATTACAAAAGACTCAGCAACTGTGTATGTGCTTATATTTTAAAGTAATTGCAAGATGTCTTTACATCTCTTTTCCTTATTCCACAGGTGATTGTTTTCATCTTTTCTATGTTTAGGTACTTCTTTTTAAATATTTCTTTTTTGTTTTATATTGAGGAAACCCAATGCTGAAAAAGGAACCTCAGCTTTCAGGTTTGACCACTCATTTGCACCTGAAATATGTACCTGTCATGGGAAACCAAAATAATTTAAACTGTGCCTACAGCTGAGACCTGTAGAGGCCAGTTTCACCACCAGTTTAGCTGAACCTGTGGGAACCCTAGTATAAACAAAGCTTTTGCACTGAAGCGGTTTCCATCGCTATGTTGGTTTAAAAAAAAAAAAAGGTATGTAGATATTTATGAGCAATTATAACCCCACTGGTCTAATTAATGAACACTGATGAAAATCCATGAGATTAAGAGGGGCAACGGAAAAAAAATCTAGGCAAACTTTGAATCAAAATGTTACACTGTAACCACTTCTTTCTTTCTTTTTCTTCCTTTTTTTTTTTTTTTTTTAAAAACAAACCTATGGTTTTAGGATAAACAGCACTGATTACAGTATTTAATTAAAAATAACTTCTGAGACAGCAGAAAAAAACCTTTTAACAATGATTCTTTTTTAACTGTACATTCATCTTGCCAATTAATCTCCTAGCTCCAGCTGGATGCTTACAATCATAGTCCTTTTCCTATTTGGGAATTCAAGGTTTATCATCCTATCACTTCCAGAGATTCATGGATTAGACGCATACAAAAATTGGTGATAAATTTACAGAATTTAATTTTAATGAAAAGTATTTAAGAGCGTTTCCAAAAACTTCTCAATCTTGCTCAGTTCTGATATCACTGACAAAAGAAAAAGTTGACAGAAGCTAGTTACAATCAAAACTTGTTCGAAACACAAACCAGTTTCATAAATACAGGCAAAAATGCATCTCTTCTCAGGGATTCATTTAATCAACACCAGTCCTAAATCATTGCACTGTACACGAGTGGGTTTTTTTCCCCCCCACCTGTTCTTCACCCAATTGTTTACTATGATGCCAACCTTCTCTCCCTAATAATATAATATAAAAAAAAAAAAGCATAAATGCCACAAACAGGTCCCAGGTTATGGAATGGAAGTTGCAACCACCGCCTTTCTGCATTACTTGCAAATGGATTCTGTGGCCTTTAATCTAAACCTCAATTGTATCTCAATATGAAAGGGGAAGTCTGAGACTCACTTCCCTTAACACCCAAAGGAAGGCCCTCTCCCCCAAATGTCCCAATGACAGGTCTTCCTAACTACACTGTAACCTTAAAGGTTAAAAGAGCAGCCTTCACACAGTTTTCAACCTGCCTCAGTTTTGTACTATAACCCATGTCATGCATGGATGGCAGCACATATCTTTAGTCCACCTTCAAAAACAAAATGTTCTTATAAATACAACTAGTTTATTAAACTACTGATATAACACTACACATTAACTATTTTTGGCAAACCTGTCCCCAAGTAGGGTCTAGTTTCCTCAATTAGTGCCTGGTTTCCTTCAGTTGAATACATGGAAACCAGTATTAATAAAAAAAGATATTTTTGCTGATGAAAATAAAAAATAACTGTAATAATATGAACAATCTAAAGCAACCTGAATATAGAACAGTTTCTTTACCCACACAAAAATGGTACCTGGACAGATTATAGAAAAATCTCAAAAGACAATATCAAGAGAATTCCCTTTTTAATTTTTATTTTCTATATAGTCCAGATACTTGAGTTCTCCCAAGCACCCAAGTTAAAAAGCATACCCTAACTGCCACCTGTAACGTGCTCTTGAATACAGCTGTGTTCTAAACTGCAATGCCTGAGAAAGGTGCAAGTCAATGTTTTGGCAACTACTTCACAAATTTCTAGTAGTGTAGTTTCTCTTTCATCTTAACTGGGAGGCATACTACTTTAATGTATTTTGAAAAACAAGAGATAGTACCCTGAAGACATCCAAGCAACAAATTTATGCAGAGCAATTTTCTCCGTTTAATGGGAAGGAAATGTCCTTGTTGCCCTGAGTTCTGGAGTTTCTAAAGCACAAATATATCCAGGTGGAGAAATACAACAATTCCCCTACCCTGAAGGGAACCAAAAAAAGTCTTTAACAGAAACGTATATAATTAAACCCTCATCACTGTCTAATGGGAAAGGTGACAAATCCCTTGAAACTTAAATTCCAAGTAGGAGGCACAAGTTGCTCTACTGGTCTCCAACTGGCAACAGCTTTCAGGAACATGCATATGTGCCTACTGATGAGAACAGAATCAGTCACTCCTTTGAATGCTGCAGCAACCATAAACTGCATTTTTGTATGGCTGGAACTCAAGACCAAGACCATCTGATGCAAAGAAACGCCAGGATTCTGTAACTAGGAGGAAAAGCTTCTGGAAGACCCTCCAGAACTCCATGTATATCCAGAGCTGCCGCCAGACAGCTCCATGCCCTGGGCAACCATGCAATGCCTAGGGCAGCACCAGCAGCCAGTGCCAAGGACAGGGGTGAGATCAGCTGTCATTGCATTTACAGCTATTCTTGCACATCCCCACAGATGCAGTCCTGGGGCTGCTGCCCAGGTCACCCCCCCATCCCCCCAGTTATGCTGTGTATCTATCTACAGTAAATTGCTTCCTTCACTTGAACAACAGCCTGCATTCAATATATGCCCATTCCAAGCCTTTCTGCTAATTGTATCTTCCATGAATAGTAATATTAGTATACTGTTATACAGGTATAGCCATTAACTCTGGCAAGATTAATGCATCTCAACATGCGCTGACACAGGAACCTCCCAGCTTACATCTTTCCTAAGGAAATCCCCAGCTCCTGTAAATTAGGAAGAGCTATCAATTATACTTAAATTTAAAGTATAAATTTAAATTTTAAATATTTAAATTTTTTATTACTTACACCACCCCTCTCCTTGGAAATTCAAATTTAATATTATGCCTGTTGTACACAGTTCATTTAGCCTCTGTATCTCTACCACCAAAACAAAGGAAGCTTTGCAGATAATTCAATCTTCAAATACCTCAACCTTCATTTCATTGACTTAAAAGCATCACAAGTGCATGTATTCAGAACCCCCCTCCATGTAAATATGCTATGCTTTACCCTAATACTCAAACAAAATGCAAAATATAATCACAATAGACTACCCTCTTTAAAGCCACAAGATGACTGAACAAGTTAGTTTCTTGCATCTTTTCCCAAAAGGACCTATTTTCAGAACAATCACTCAAATAACTTAATAAAATACCAATTATAAAAATGTCATACTTCAAAATACAGCAAACAGTCCAAGCATATCTTAGATTAAAACCCTCAAAGTTTCTTTCTGGAAAGAAAATCTGGAATAGAAACACTAATAATACATTAGGGGATGACCTCAAACACTGCAAACAGATATCTGGAGATTCCTGTATCCACAGTATGACAATCTTATGAAATCATTAGTAAAATTTTGCAACTTGGTATTCCAGTACTACACAAATGGAACAAAGCCAATGAAGAATGGCTGCATTTCCAACCTTCCAATGCTAAATTTTGGCTGTCAGATTAAAGCCCAGATCCAACACTGCATTCAATGCACCTGTAAACATGAATAATTCTACTAAAGTCAACTCCTCAACATTTATCATTCTATACACCCTGCAGAGGTAAATACGTGAACTCTGATTAAAACATGTAAACTTCACTAAGGTGTGGTATGTCAAAGCAAGCACAGAAAGGTAGAATTGAGCACATGGAGACAGTGAAGAGAGAGCAAACTAGTAAACCAAGGAGCTATTTCCTAAACCCTTAATGCAGTGCTCTCTCTACCAGTACCAAGCTTAAAGAAAAATACTTTCACCTTAATACCTGCAAACAGCTATTTATATTTATCAACGGATAAAGGGAATATTTTCAGAATAGAACAGTTTTTAGAAATACCTGTAACTTGAGTTTATCCAGAGAGAAAATAAAACCAAACAGAACAAAAATCTTTTAACATGTGCATAATATATGCTTAATGAATCCACCTTCACAATCTATTCACAATATAATTGCCTCAAGATTTTTTCTGCCTGCCTTTGGAGATTGAAAAATATTTTCAAAGTGAGATCAATAAAGACTGCACTTTTTAAAAGAAAGCAGAAATATGAATATAAAACACTGAGTTTTCTTCATGAATTCTGAACAAGTAGGAAGAAAAACATTACATTATTGCTCTGATTGACCAGGTAACTCCTTTGTTGCTGTTAATGAATGATGATATCGCCTCTTGTTCTTTACAAGTTTAGGAACAAAGATCATTAATTACTTCTTGTCCTCAAAATTAATCCCAGCTGT